TAACTCAGGTATCCCCAACCCGTTGATTTTAAGGGAAGTCAGGACTAATCCTGAGGGCCCTGAAGTTAACGACTGGGCAAACCTCCAGTGGCCCCAAGGGGTGACTCGAACTCGAGACCTGTGGATTTTATCCTCCAGACTTTACCATTCGGCCACTTGCCTTGGGGTTTATTTTAAGCAAACTTTAAGAAGCGTATTTGTAATTTACACTAAAAAATAAAATAAATGAAGTGACAATTTATTTTTATTTAGGATGTTTGGCCTATAAATTACATTATTATCAATTTGTTCTTATTATTGAAAAAATAAAATGATTATGTATTCCCCGTTCTTATTATTAAAGAAATAAAATGATTATGTATTTCCTTACGACACGTAGTAGTAGAATTAATAACTTCTCATTAAATTACTATGGCTGGGAGGCTTTGGTGTTGTTTAATTAATCACCTAAAAATTATTATCTCACATGCTGCTGAATTAATAACTTCTCATTAAATTATTATGGTTCAGAGGCTCAGGTGTTGTTGATTTAATCTCCTAATTTTTGTCGCAAAGAGGATGGATTGGATGGATGACCCATTCAAATTATTTTCTTAATCAAAAGAACAGTCAACAAGCTTCATTCTCCTACTATATAAAGCATAGGAATTGGGATGTTTTAAAACCATTCCCATTCACTTCAACACACATCTCTCTCGCTCTCTCTCTCTCTCTCCTTGGCTTCTCTTTAAGGTATCGGAAATGGCGATTGAAATTAGCTTAGGGGACATGTTAGTGAAGGTTGTGGTCTTTATGGTAGTCCAAGCTCTAGTTTATATAATTCTTTCCAGGTCTTCCAACATCTTCTCCAAGAGTGAGATGGGATCTCCACGATTCAAGAGGGCTCGCTCAGTTAGCTTCCGAAGATTGCTTGCTGCCCTTGCTGACATGGCTCCCGGTGGTGAGCCGTCTCCTTCTTCCGAGGACAGGAATTCACCGATCGCCCTAGAATACACAAACAGTCCAAGATCATGATCAAACATCTCAGGCTTTGTTAGTAAGCTCAATATAGAAATGATACTTTTTTTGTGGTTTTGGGTATTCCTTTTGTTCTTTGATTGAATGTTAGGTGTAAATATCATGTGTTAATATGGATTCCATGTACCTATGTAGGATCAATAGTTTGCTGTGAATGTCAATTTTGAGATATGTTCTTATGTTATTGTTGTAACATGTAAAAGCCTACAAAATGTCACGTTTAAATTTTTTTGTCACAGATATATTTTGGTCACAAACACGACGTGTAGATAGCTCGGAAAAGCACAATCACATTAAGATTGTTGATGGATATAAATATGGAAAATAAATTACCAATATATTTAAGTGAAAATATTTATGAAAAAGAAAAAAAGAAAAAAGAAACAATCATAAACATACGAGACCACAATATACATAATTCTTTACGGACAATTACGCAAGAAGTTTCCACTGTGAACCAAGAACAAATGTTCAAAGAACTATACTGGTATCTCACAAAGCCTCTCTTACCAATGCCTAATTGTCTTCCAATACAAACCTATATATAAAGAAGGTAAATTACATTTTGCCCTTTTTAAATTTCATGATTTTTCACTTCGGCGTTTAACATATTATTTTTCCCATTATAGTCTTAACGTTTGTCAACATTCGATTATTTGATTGATTTTTTTTGGTCAACAGCCGCATTTTTGTTTTTTTTTTTAATTTATTATTTAACAATCTTACTTATGAGCAAGCTTGTTACTAAATTGATCTAATACTAGTATTTTAATTGCTATTAGTTGTCCTTGGAATACGCAGAATGACGTTGCACCACGGGGTAAGCCATAGAAGGAAGCAACACAGATATTTTAAGAACATGTGGTTTTGCTGCATTCATAAATTTAGGGTGTAAAAACGGCCCGTGTCCCATTCGCAGCTTGAGGTGGGCTTGGTTTGTTTCGGCCTGGGTCTGTCATTTGAAATTTTTTTTTTTGGCCTTGTCTGGCCTACCCACCTGACCCTTCCTCTGTCAACGATCAAATAAAAAAAATATAAAAAATAAAAGACAAGTTGTCACGGTTAAATAATTAAAAAAACAAAAAATAAAATAAAGGCTTGATCTTGTAACAACGGTTAAAAAAAGAAAAAGAAAAAAAAGGGGCCTGTCATTTCCTTACAGGGAGGTAGAGTTGATGCCTGCTACCTGCCATTGCCGCCCTACCCCCTTTGCCATGTCATGTAGAATCACTCACATCATTGCAATTTGCAATGAATAAAAAAAATAAAAATAAATGTCCACACCTCTACAGACTAAAAAAAAAAAAATTAATAATAATAGAAATAATTTAACGATCATATTACCGTTTAATACAATGGTCATTTTTTTTTGTTACTTATTTATAAATTTGTTTCAATCTTCCAAACTTCTATGAATATCTTCCATTTTTCAAAATAAATCTCATAAACAATTTTCTCTTAAACTCTCAATCTCTCTTAAACTCCCAATCTCTCTCAACTCTCAATTAATTTTGAAGTGTCATTCCTAAGTGACAATTATAATTGTGCAACAAGAAATTTTTATCAGAAGAAGCTAATTTTTGTATTGTATTTGCCAGTCAGTAACATTAATTAGTTTAATTAAATTTATTAGCTGCTCATTTTTTTAATTAATTATTTCTGAACATATATTAATTATTATTTTTTACTCATTATTGTTACTCATTATTTAAATTAATTGTTAGTTCTTATATATTATTTTACTTATATTACTATGGATTTTAATATTCCTAATGTTTATGTCGATGTTGATACATATGCTACACAACATAAATATGTTGATTCTCCTTCTAATATTCCTCTTCCAACAGTTGGATCATCATCTAGGGGCATAACCAGTAGTGTTTTGGGAACATTTTAAAAAAATATTTATAAATAATCATGATGGTACAATTACATTTAAAGCAAAATGTAAATATTATGCACATTTACTTAAGGGTCTGGCTTTGGTCCAGTCCACCATCGGACTGGACTGTGTTGTTGGGTCTGTGGAGGTCCACCACGGGTCCCGTTTTAAAAATCTGGACCGTTCAATGTGTAGAACTCTTCGAGTACTATATGCCTGTAAAAAATTACGTTGATCGGATATCGATAGCTATGTGATCAAATCAGTTTTGTATAAAAAAAATGGACGGTGAATAAATTAACAGTTGACAAAAAACTGATTTGATCACATAGTTATCGATATCCGATCAACGTGATTTTTTACAGGCATATAGTACTCGAAGAGTTCTACACATTGAACGGTTCAGATTTTTAAAACGGGACCCATAGTGGGCCCTCACGAGCCCCACAGCACGGTCCAGTCCGATGGTGGACTGGACCAAAGCCAGACCCTTTACTTAATGCTGCATCTGCAAATGGTACTAGTCATCTAAAAAAGCATGCTAACAAATATTTATAAAAGTCAACAATATAATATTAGAAGTCAAATGAAATTAGGGGTTTCATCAATTGGTAATTTGCAAATATTTTCATATGATCCTATACGTGTACAAAATTCTGTAGTTGATTCTATTATTAAAAAAAAAATAATCTTTTACTATTAGTGAATGTCCCGATTTTATTGAAATAATGCACGAAAGTTTTGCACCGTGATATCAAAGCTTTTCAAGAAAAACTACTAGAAATAGGATTTTAAAGAAATTTGAGGATACAAAAAGTGAATTATTTGACATCTTTAAAAATTTGAATTGAAGAGTTTGTTTTAATATCTGATCTATGGTCAAATAATGGTTTAGAATATCAATGTATTACTGTATATTTTATTGATAATGATTGAAAATTAAATAAAAGAATTATTTCATTTAAATTAGTTGAACTTCCATATACTGTCATTCGCTTTGTGTAAAAATAAGAAATGTATTATATAAGTAGACTTTACAAAATAAAATATTTACAATTAATTTAGATAATGTAACATATTATAATCAAACTGTAACTCGTTTAAAATCAATTTTACAATTACTTGTCGATAGTGATTTATTTTATGTTCGTTGTTGTGTCCATATTTTAAATTTAATTGTTAAAGAAGCTATACATGTATACAAGACTTCTGTACTTGTAATAAAAAATACAGTTGTTACAATTATGTCTCCTGCTAATCGAATTTCAAAATATAGAAAAAATTGTCAACGAGAAGGTATGCCAATTAAAAAATTAATTTTAGGTATAGATAGTAGGTGGAATTCAATGTATAATATGTTAAAAAGAGCTTGTAAACAAAGAAGAGTAATAGATTTATTTTTTGCAACAACATCAATAAGAGGAGTATTGACTCCTACAGAACTTAATTGGCGTCTAGTAACCTTGTATAAAGATTTTTTAAAAGTTTTTAATATTTCAACAAAATTATTTTCTTATATATATATATATATTTTCCCACTTCATCATTTGTTTTACATATAATTGATCGTAGGTGTAAAGAAATTAGTTTACAAGAATTTTTAAAACGTATTTTTGTTGATCATGAAGAAGATGTGTAATTTCTATTTCTTATTTCAATGAATCAATCATATACAACAACTTTGTTTATATACATAAGAAGAATATTATAACTGCCTATATCTATCCTATATCTAACATACTCTAACAGACTCAACTACTATAACAAGATAAGGTTCTGCGAATGGTGAACAAGATACAGTTATGTAAACTCATGCTATGCTACTATTCAGCCTCATAAGTCCTACTGCTCTACTTTGTCAGATACACCTGAGGACAGCTCCATAACCTTATCAGGCCCCCCTTAAGCGAAGAGACCGATCAGTGGACAAGGGCTTAGTAAGAATGTCAGCAATTTGATCCACAAAAGAAACATGCTTAACAATGACTTGTTTAGCCGCAACTTGCTCCCAAATGTAATGATAATCCATAACAATATGCTTGGACCTGGCATGAAATACTAGGTTAGAAGCAAGAGAGATAGCAGATAGGTTGTCACACTAGAGTGTAGGAGTAGAGGAAGGAAGATGTAATTCATGGAGAAGCATATGAAGCCATGCTAATTCAGCGGCAGCTTGAGCAAGAGCTCGATATTCTGCTTCAGTGGATGAATGTAAGACTGTGCACTGTTTCTTTGCAGTCTAAGAAACAAGATTTGAACCAAGAAAAACACAATAACTAGTGGTTGATTTTTGATCTATGACACTCTTACGCCAATCCGAATCTAAGTAAGCATGAAGATCTAAAGAACTAGGAGCAAAATGTAAACCATAATCCAAAGTCCCTTGAAGATATCGCAAAAGCCACTTAACAACATTGAAATGAGCCACAGTAGGGGCACACATGAATTGGCAAGCATGATTAATAGCAAATGAGAGATCAGGTTGAGTAATAATAAGATACTGTAAAGCCCCAACAATACTTCGGTATAGATTAGGTTCAGAAAAAGAAAGGAGAGTATCACTGGGAAGAGAAGACTTAATGGCCATAGGAGAAGCATAGGACTTGTAGTTGGTCATGCCTGCCTTAGCAAGAATCTTAAGAGCATACTTTTGTTGAGATAAAATAGGCCATCAGGAGTGGAGTGAACAGAAATACCAAGAAAGTAAGAAAGATTGCCCAATTCCTTTATAGAAAAGGCTGATTGCATATGCTGGACTAAAGAGACAATTTTCTTAGAATCATTACCAGCAATAAGAATGTTATCCACATATACTAGCAACAACATAACAGAGTGAGAAGAAGAATGAATGAAAAGAGAGAGAACAGATTTGCTATTGATAGAAGAAAGAAGAAAAGAGGAAAATGTGGAATACCAAGCTCTTGGAGCTTGTTTTAAGCCATACATGGCCTTACTCAATTTGCACACATGAGAATGAAATTTAGAATCTTCAAACCTTGGTGGCTGAACCATATATACTCCCTCTTCAAGTACACCATGCAAAAAAGCATTAGAAATATCCAACTGTTTGATTTGCCAATTAAAATGAAGAGCTAGACCGAGGAACACTCAAATGGTAGGGTGCTTAGCCACAAGGCTAAATGTGTCATGATAATCAATGCCTTCATCTTACGAATAGCCTTTAGCAACAAGTCTAGCATTATGTCGAGCAATTATGCCATCAGAATTTTTCTTAAGACGAAAAACCCATTTACATCCAATAGCCTGTTTGTGAGATGGCAGAGGAACTAAAGTCCAAGTCTGTTATTTGTACAAGGCTTGAAATTTATCATTCATAGCTTGAGTCCAAGCTGGAGTGTCATGACCCGAACCCGCCCCCATGGGTTAAGGACATAACCGGCCAGTAATCACGAGATTACCTACGGCCTCAAATCAAATAAGACATAACTCATCAGAGTAAAGGAGGCAAACAGAAGCAACTTTAAAACTTTGTCCTTATAGCTGTGCTTATATGGCACATCATAATAAACCATACATATACATGTTAATAACTCACATCAAAATATGTACTAACACAGAGTTCTGTACATACAGGATCATTCAAGTCTAGGTCAGCCAACCAAAACTATATACAATTGTAATCCAAAGTCCTCGCCAACATGACAAAATATAATAAAATAGCAAAAGGGCGAAGACGAGTCTCGTGCGTAAGACGTATGGGCTGACTCTTCAAAACCTTGGTTGTTCCACACGAACTTCACTGAAGCTGGGTTTGGACCTCCCTTGGCTCACCTACAGACACATGAATGAGCGTGAGCGAAAGCCCAGTGAATAATATTGAATAAAGGAGATACACGAACTGTATTTAGAACGACATGCACCAAACGGCCTTGGGCCCAATTCATATTTCTATCCAATATATATATATATGTCAAGTAACTGCGGTTCAAATACATCAGACGGCCTCGGGCCTAATCCATTCATGTCAAACGACCTTTGGCCCATTCATTCTTTCATTTATGTCAGATTGGCCTTTGGCCCATTCATTCATATCATACATGTCAGACTGGCCTTTGGCCCATTCATTCATGTCATATGGGCTCTGGCCCATTCATTCATGTATCAGACTATCATTCATGTCTGACTATCATTCGTATCAGACGACCTTTGACCCATTCATCCATGTCGAACGGCCTTTGGCCCAATTAATTGCATCCAACGGCCTCTGGCCCAATCACATGGCATAGCAGATATTTGTCCCCAATTCAACGTAACAAAAATACAAGACTTACATGAAAATAAGCAGTTGGACAAATAACATACTTTAGATATCTTTATTAAGATATTACTCACAGTGCTCTGCCGGTGGATTCACCGTTGAGCTTGACCCTACACATTACATAACATATATGGGTCACAAACGATTCAATCCGATCTTAATTCATACATCCCTCTTAGGCTTCTTTCTTATCCTTTTAATTCATTCATAATGCTCAATGCATGCCTAAGAGTACTTAGAAATGAAAGAGAACGGAAAACGAAACACAGAACATCTTTACAAAATTTCTAAAACAGGGGTCCCCGCTCGAGCGTGGACTTCCCTACTCGAGCGGACCCATTAGGTCTACAAAAGTACTGGTTACCTCAATTTTACGCTCGAGCGTGAATTCGTACGCTCGAGCTGAAAGGCTCACTACATGGCTCCCCGCTCGAGCGTGAATCTCCCCGCTCGAGCAGACATCCATGTCTGCGAAATTTCTAGGAGCTCGTATTTCCCGCTCGAGCGGTGCTTTCCCCGCTCGAGCGGACATGCCAAATTCTGGAAAATCCAGAATTGTTCTTGAGCTTCAAACTCAACCTTCAAAGGTCCAAAACTCATAATTTCGGTCCAAAACATGCAAATACATTATATAGCATATGGATGTAAGCAACATAAGGCCAATCATTCAAAATTATGGTCCAATTCTTAAAAATTAATCAACATTTCTTTGTATAATCAAGGCTTATGCATTCAAACCTTTACATAAACTCCATACCTTCAATAATCAAACATGCATGTCAAAAATATGGTGCAAATGGTGTTCATTCTGATGAAGCTCAACCAAAACCATGCTTGCATGTATGATTCAACTCACAATCTTTCATAATTCACATATTACATGCTAGATTATGTAATTTCATAGGAATTCTCTACATGCATGCAGACATGGACTTCAATCTCAACTTAATCAACTCAATTCATGATCTAACTCACCAATTAATCTCCAATTCACAAAACCACAACTCAAACTCATGAATTAAGGGTTGATTACTCACCTAGGAGCTTTAATCTTCACCAATTCTAGTTGAATCTTGAGCCTAGCTTTTAAATCTCATAAATCTTGAGCCAAACCATACAATTCCTCATCTTTCCCTCTCTCTAGCCGACCCTCTCCTTTTCTTAAGGTAATCTCAGCCAAATGAATACCAAGAGACGTATTGAGTGGAAACAGTCTATTTAAACAAGCTCCTCTAATCACATTTCTTTAATATTAAATAATTGAGTACCATTTCATTAATTTAATCTATTTAATCTGATCCGAATCAATTTTTAATTAAATTTCACCGTAGGCTCTAAAAATTATGCCAATCACAATGGCGTAGTCAATTTCGGTTTCTGTGGCCGATAGGGCCTTCAATTTTCAGTTTATAACAGTAAGTTGAACATATATTCCTATGGTGAACAGATAGAAATTCAAAATCACATATATTCACATAAATGGCACTCAAAATCATATCAAACACATAATCACAATCACAATTAAGATTAATTAGCATAATACGGAACAGGGTTATCACATGGAGTTTGAAGGGCTTCAGTATGAGAATGAGGTTCAACAAGAGATAAATCAGAAGAAGAAGAAGTAGAAGCAAGCATAGAGAAATAAGAAGCCTTAGAGCGAGTAACCATAGGATGATGGTTAATAGGAGGAACTGGTGATGAAGCTGAACAAGAAAAGGGTCGGAGATCAACAATGAGAGAACCAATAGGAAGAGTGGAAGTTACAGCAAAAGGCAGGGCTATAGAAGAGATAGGACATAAGACAAGTGATGTAGTAGTAGCAGCAGGAGCTCTATTAGAAGCTATGATTGAGACAGAGACAACTCTATTGAAAGCTAGATCTGTAGAAGGAGCACAAGACAAGACAGGTGCATCAATTTTTCTGAACCAGCAGCAGCTGCAGAGGAAACAACAACAGAAGCATGGGAAATAACAGTATTCGGCTGAGTTGGAACAGAAGATAGACTAGACCAAAAGAAAGAATGAAGCTGAGGAAAAGTATGAATAAGATTAAAAGAAAGAGAAGATGGAACATGAATGACTAAAGGAAACAAAGTTTCATAAAAAACATGTCTTGACAAATAGACCTTTCATATAAAGGGATCTAGGCATCTATAGCCTTTGATGGAAGGATGATAGCCAATAAAAATAAAAGACAAGGAACTAGGTTGAAGTTTATGAGAATTATAAGGGTTAAGCCAAGGAAAACATTTACAACCAAAGCTCCTAAGAAAGGCAAAATCAGGGGCTTGATGAAACAAGACTTCAAAAGGAGTTTTATGATGCTACTTGGAACTAGGTAGCCGATTAATAAGACACGCAGTTGTTGCTAAAGCATCAAACCAATAAGACAATAAACGAGCAGATTGATGAAGAATAGCAATTGTGGTACTAATAAGATGTCTATGCTTTCTCTTCGCAACTCCATTTTGAGGAGGAGTACGAGGACAAGAACTCTGATGCAAAATACCATGGTTTTTAAGAAATAATTCAAATTGATTGCTAGTGAACTCACTACCACCATTAGTTCAAAAAAATTTAAGACTAGTCTTAAATTGATTTTCAACAAACATTTTGAATTCTTGAAATTTAGAGAACACTTCACTTTTGTAACACATGGGATAAATCCAAGTAAATTTACTGAATTCATCTATGAAGAGAACATAGTATTTAACACTAAACTTGAAAGATGAGAAAGGGCCCCAAACATCACTATGGATAAGGGACAAAGGCTTATTCATAGTAGAATTAGACAAAGTGAAAGGCAATCTATGACTCTTGGCCACAACACAATGAGTACACAAATGTGGTTTATTTCAATAAGATGAAACAGGTAAACTGAAATTTTTCAGCAAAACTTGCATCTTTTAAGAAAATGGATGACCAAGCCTAGTATGCCATGTAGGTGGAGATATAGAACTAGCAACAAGAAAAGCATGGAAAGAGGATGGTGCATGTGGTATAGATAGAGGCAAACTAGAAGGCAACTGATAGAGACCATGACAATGAACACCCGTATAGAGAGGTTTCTTGGTGGTCTTGTCCTGAATCACAAAGGATTGATCATCAAATGCGGTAGTGCAATGATTATCAGAAGTTAACTAATGCACTGAAAGTAGATTAGAAGAGATGGAGCGAACATGAAGAATATTGTTGAGTTTGAAAGGAAAGGAAGGAGTAGAAAGGATACCTTAACCAGTGTGTTGAATAGGAATGGATTGACCATTGCCAATAGTAACCTGATCTGAACCATAATATGGTTAATATTGTTGACAATGACTCATATCACGAGTCAC